CAATACAGGTTACAAGAGATTTTAATCTTTTACGAGTCTGTTTGATCAAATTAATGTCTAAAAGAAACAGTAGATGTATTAGGAGGCTTCAGCTGCATATTCTAGGATGAGTAGAGTGTTCAAGCCAACATTGTCTGTGTGGTACTCAAACTGGCTCATAAACAATTCTGCTGAGCTGTTAGCAAGATTTAATTCATAATATATACAAGACTTGTCATTCATTAAACTTCATGTTGACTTCATAAGAGAATCCAATGACAAATCAAATATCACAATAGTTTATATTTGATTGACTGTAAATGATCAGATCCACAAATCGATTCAGCTCTTTTCAAACCCTAACAAAATGACGGCTTTTGGGTAATGTACTGAAAATGAAATAAATCAGAGATGAGAAGGAGCTGAAAGAGAAAAGAATAACAGGTGAAGATGGAAAACATGCAAACTTTGCCAAACTGTCCAGCAGAGCGTTTGAGAGCCAGTGTGAAGTAGCCGTTTCCCCTGGTGGTGCTGAGCTGGATTAGCGTCACGTCACGCCTCATGAGCTGTGACATAAGAATGCTTATGAAGCTTGCACATTAACAGTTGCTCCTGAATGAAACAGGAGATGCAGTGAAATTACTGGAATCTGGCGGATCCCCAGCCAGTACAACTCCCTCCTGACAAGTTTTGTGTGTTCGTGTGTTGGTCAAGTTAAACGGGCTAACCTAAATCTTGTGTCTAACATGAATGTGTTATTTGTACTGCCTTGCTAAATGTTGGGGAACAAAGACAAATCAGGACATTGATAAGAATTGAACACAAATTTAAATCTATTATTGGCTGTGTGTAAAATACAGTGCAACTTGGGCCACATTTTTCTTTCCAACCTCGAACCGAACAAGTACTGACCAAGGTCGACTTGACATTCCCGGAAAAAGAGGAAGTTAAAGAACCATGTCAAGTTGGCAAGCCCATCCTGAATAGTATTTTTTGTCCGACCTGACCCAAACCTGACAGAGTAGTGCCCGAGCCCAACAGATGTTTAGACTTTTCTGTCCAAACCCATTTGGTTGCCATTGGGTTCAGGTCAGGTAGTCACACTCTACGTAAAGACGCCACGAGACATTGGATCCTGTGCTCAATATCTCATTCAGGAAGAAGTAGATGATTATTACCAGCAAAATATACTTTCAACTGATGACTGGTGCTGATTGCATCTGCACAGCTTTACCTTTTCCCATAGAAAGCCCGGGCCAACACCATGATGGTGTTGAGTTGCTATATACGAATAACAGTGTAAAGGATTACAAGCCTCATATTTAAAACATGTGACCAGTAAAATGGATTCAAGGATGCAGAATTTAAAGAAGAGCTTAGTTTCATAGATTAAGTTATAGTTGTAGGTTGAGTTTCCCCAGTTCGCCACCTCTCATGTCTATTCTTGTCTGTCTCTGCTGTTCTCTAATAAGAGGCATAAAACAACCAATTTCAGATGCTTCCCTACTGGTAAAGATTTCCTTCACAAATGTGTTTGTTGTTTCCCAACAGTCACCATCCTGTGAACATGAAAGTGCACATGAAAGTCAGGACAGTCTATACCAGGTGAAAGCAGAGGCATGATTTACAGTAGTGCTGCTCTATTCAGAGTCATTATCAGCAGCTGAACTGCAGTGAACCGAACCTCAGCAGCTGCTTGACAGCCGACGGGCTTCCTACTGCAGAGCTGCTTGTTTGCTTGTTCTGCCTTTCAGGAGAAGACACCGAATCATTTCATGCCAACAACACAAACTCTCCAATGCAGGCATGCACGCTCAAGCCATGCAACAGTATGCAATCACACACACGCTGCACAGATGTCCAAGAGATGGACACGTGCAAACACGCTCATGAACACATTCAAAACAAATGACTGGGATGGATTACCAGGACTTCCTGAGAGGACACCCAGGAGTCCGGTGTGAAACTGGGCCACAGGGCCAAAGAAAGAACAGAAGAATTACTGCCTCACTGTTGAACACCTCCATCAACAAATTAAGATGCCATTTACATCCATGTCAGTTCAGACTCAGGTAAGCTCATCTAATCACCTCGTCCCAATTCAGGGGTTTTTCCGTCGCCAGAGATTCTCGCTCTTATTGTTGCAACATTAGCTACTTTTGCACGGCTGCACTTCCTGCAGCTCAGCCATCTGCATAGCTAGCTCGTTAGCTTCATCACCTGTTCGCAATGAATCCATGCATAGGTTGGCCCAAGAAGGACGCACCTGTTGGATCCTTTGTTTCTCAGGGAATACATTGCCCATAAATTAAGACATAAGGTAAAGTAGAAGTTATTAATCAGTTAAAGTTATTAAATGTATTTTGCAATAAAGAAATAATAAGGATATGAATTCTTGAGCTATGGCAGAAAAACAAGCATTGTGACTTCACAGAGACATTTGATCGCTTTACCCTCGAGCTGTGGCTCAAACCAGCCACTAGGGACACACTTTCTGGTAGCTCTAGTGCCGTACCTAAGCCCGGATAAATGGTGAGGGTTGCGTCAGGAAGGGCATCCTGCGTAAAACTTGTGCCAAAACAAACATGCGGATCACAAATAAGTGAGTAGTGGATATATTGGCAGATGATCCGCTGTGGCGACCCCGAAAAGGGAGCAGCCGAAAGATGAAGAAGAAGAAGAAGAAGAAGAAGAAGAAGACCCTCAAGCTGTGGCTCAAAAAACCGAGGACAGGACAGGACTGTGGATTCAGAGAATCTTTACATCCCAAACGTCAACAGATGAATTTGAGTCAATAACAAAAACCATCATTAGAAACTGACCCTTAACGTTTCAACCTAAATTATACAATATATCATGAATAGTCTACATTGACAGTAAATGCAAGATTCAAGCACCATGTACATTTATTTTGAGCTGAGCCTCATTAGAAAATTAAAGATTCACTTACCAAACAGTGAAGCAGAAAATGGTGGCTACCTCAGTTCACCTTTTCTATGATTCAGCTTGTCAGTCTGTTAAAAGCACAAATTCTGGCCGCACAGTTGTTTTTTTTAAAAACGTCTTCCTTTTTTCTTGAAATTTTGGAAGAAGCTCTGCGGTGTCTGCACTTCACACCCCGAAATCTTTCTGGCCTCTTTAATTTTGTGCCTTGGCGTTGTGTTCGGATGTTTGATCAGGGCTCTGCGCACAACATTGTGCTTGTGTATTTTTGTGGATCGTTTTTATTGGGAACAAATTATTTGTTTTTCCTGGAACGGAGGTGATTTGTTATGGGTCCACATTTTAAACCCCCTTTAACCCACCAACTGTGTAGCATTTACATGGACACATGGACACTGAAATTCGTTCACGTTTAAAAAATGCAGTCGGGTTTATAAAGCTGGCGCTCTTTCATAGACACTCTTAGACACCCAGAAGAATTTACTGTGAGGACGCCCCGCTGTGCTCCAGCTAGAAAAAAATAAAACCACTGAATAATTTCATATGCTTTGCCCTCTTTGTCTGCACATTTTACAAAAGGTGTCAAATCGCTTACATAGCTTTGTTTTCCTGCAGCCGAGGCCAATGGAGGGTTTTGCTCTCACAGCAAATCACAGGAAGGAGATGTTTCAGAATTCAAAATCTCAAACGCTCAAACACAACCGGTGGTCATAGTGTATGGAGGCTTTTAAGCCTAAAGCTGCCAAACTTGCTAAAGATATTTTGGGCCTCAGAGATTGAACCTTAATTACTCCAGTGTTAACATACAATCCAACCTGGCTTTACTTACCAGGCAAAATGTCCACTCAGAGTGTTAACATGTTTGTGTTCTACCACCATCACGATCCACAATCCACCATCACCATTCTTTTCCAATTTCCATGATCGTGATCCTGATGTGTACCCTTCTACAGTAGGTGCACACATACAGTAGAGGCAACGCTGCTCAGTAGCCATTTGCTCCGTCTTCTTCACAATATTTATACAATAAACATCAAAAAGTCTCGTCCTGAACACTGGATCCCATTTCCATCGTCCCAGATCTGTTCTTGGTGCAAAGGAAAGTCCAGTTTTATCACAATATGTAAGACCTGTGAGCCTTTTCTGCACAACAAGCTCAGGCCAGTAGTCAATAGGTGTCAGTGCTTGAAACCTGAGTTAAGCTCAATGAATAGAGTTTGGTTGCAAAGCAGTTATCAAGTGAGAGGGGCCGAGACGTCTGGGTTTAGGCCTCTATGGAGTTTCAGGCTGGGAATAAGGGATTTTCAGTCAAGCCTCACAAAGACGGGCACAATGGAGGAAGAGGGTTCACTAATTTGTAATCTGCTGGTGTGAATGAGCCGAAGCTGTTAAGAGGATATCACATTTTATAACTTAAAAAATATTCTAACTTGAGTTAATTTGTAATGACAGGGTTTTGTTTCAGTGACACTTTGATGAAGAGGACATCATTCCAGTATTTGATACCGAAATGGTACAAAATAAATACATAAATAAATTATCTTTATTCTTTTCAGAAGCACAATTGATGCATCAAAGACTCTGAAGGAGCTGGAATTAAGAATGGTCACTTTGTCTTTGAGTTTCATTGTCACTTTTGCACAAAGTGAATTCACATTTAGGATCAGGTTTGTTTTAACTAATGCTGATTCGACATCAGTAAAAACCAAGCTGATCCTTTCGTCACTGACCTCTACTGCATATTGTCTGTGTCATAGAGCTGCTCGCCTTCTCAGGAGCATTTGAAAACAGGTTAAACAATCCATGTGATCGTGTCACATTAAATGTAGAAAGTTAACGATCCACGATTAAACCTGGTGAGCATGTTTTTTTGAACCAGGACTTAAAGTATTGAGATCAGGCCGGCTAAAGCTGTCAGTTATAATTCATCAACATTAAGCAAACGTATACTCAAGTCCTACGCACCTGAATGGTGCAAGAGCTCTGAAAACAAAGGCCAATAAACACCTGCATTCACCGAGTGCATACCCACAACACACAGTACACTCACCTGTGTGTGTGTGTGTGTGAGTGAAGCCATGTGATGCTGAAGGGAGGTGTTAAACCTTCAGTTTTTCCGCTTCACAAGTGATACAGCTCAGACCAGCAGGTAACTGTTGTGCTACTGTTCAGCTTGGAGACGTTCAGCCCAGGTTCAGACGTTCCTGCAACAGATTCAGCGTTTATCTTTAGAAAAAGGTAGGAACTGAGCTGGGAAATGTCTTTTTGTTGCTTGTATGCTGCTGCAAATTTCAAGTCAACTTAAAAATCTGGAGGATTTGAAATGTAAATGATTTTCTGCACATTTTGAATTGCATTAGTCATTTTTTGGTCTTAGATATTTATTTAAATCCAAACTCCTCTGGAAAACTTAACTGTAAGTTCTTCAAAAACTGATTTTTGCATTGGCTGATTATTATATAAACCACCTATACAGCTTTTACATAATCAAGCATTGCTGCTTGTTTGAAAGTGTTGCTTTGCGCCAAGAAAAAAGATGAAGATAATAGGTGAGTAAAGCTGGTGGACAGCAGAACAATCAGAAATCTGATCTACAGCATGAAGAGCCCGGCACAATTCCTATGTTTGAAAAAAACAAACAAAACAAAACGTGGTCAGGGTGATAAGTAATGACTGCGATCAGGTTTCAGAATGACATCCAAACAAATTCAGATTTCAACAATGAGAAAGAAAAGCTTACTGTAATGTGAACAGTGTATTGGTGGATTAAAAAAAGGATTGTTGCGAGAAGAGTCCCTGCTTCACTGCTGACACAACAGAGCCGACTCTGTTTCATAAATATGCATCTATTGATCTTTTAAACAGGGAATCATGCAAGACTGGAGATTCTGAAGGTCACAATTGGCCGTAAAGAAAAAAAATATAGAAGCCACAAAGGAGGAATCAAAAAGTGACCTGCTGTTGTTAAACAGTTACAGACTCATTTAAATTCAGCATCACAAGTCTAAAATCAAACCGAAGGCCCCGAACAGAGAGAGACACTGATGCCAGAGGAGAAATGTACATCAGAGAGGTTCAATCCAGCGTCTGGTTTCAGGTGCTTACTGCTATAAAAAGCAACGTTAAGCGACTTCCGAGGAAGTAAAACAAAAACAATCATGTGCTCTGGTTGACTTGGTACTTTGAAGCTTGGATTAAACATTAACCTTCAGGAACATGCTTCTAAAATATAAGACACAGCGTCCTAACTTGATACTGGACGTCTCCACGCTGAGGTATTTAAGCTGCACTTTAAGAACTCGGCTTTAAGGGACTCAGGCGTCAGGAGAAGCTTCAGTGCAGATCAGCAGATTTGACACTTGTTTCCATTTGAGGAGCAAGTGTGAAGCTAAGGAACTTGTCAGGATGGAAATGTTGCTGCAGTGCCGCACTGAGGCTTTTGAAGGTCATTGGAGGTGGCAGAAAGCCTCGGGGCAGGGCAGCGATTAGCCACCCATGTACACGGTTCTGTTCCAGTGAACCACAGATGGGTGGCACAATGTAATTTGCAGTAAGTGAGCATGTAATGGAGTTGTAAGTGCCCTGAGCAGGAGAGGAAACATGCCAATTGCCAAAGTTATTTCCAGAGTTCATCCTTCTATTCCTGGTGTTACTGTGGATGACAGAGCTTCAGTGCAATTTATTGTTAATGAAAGGTATCACAGCTTTGTTCATAGAGATTACAGTGGAAACTTTACACTAAAGGTCAGTGTGTGTGTGTGTGTGTGTGTGTGTGTGTTTTGGTTCTATCTGGTTTACTTCGTCTGTAAGGGGTCTTGTTTTGTACACAGAGCTGCTTGTTCCAGGTTCCACACATGAGCAGAAGGAACGTAGAGAAAACAGCTCGACCTGGTGGGTGGGCAAAACACAGGGAAGGGAACCAGCGGAGATTCATGTGCTGCTGCTATTTGTCGCGTGCTAGCCTGCGCTAACGTCCATAAAGTTGTTATTGTCCACATGGACAGTCAGACCTCATTGTTTCAACTGCAGTTGTGGACATGCCCAATGGCTTAGATCCAGACAAAGGCAAGAATTTCTTAAATTATCTTTCACTGATTTCCCAGAGATTAAATCACAGATCTTGATGTAAAAAAAAAAGACAATGTATTTTAGTCTGAATCACCGATCCAACATTTCCACGCTGGTAACGTGGCTAAACTGAGTGATTATGAAGGTATTCACCAACTCATTGAGTGTTATTTGATTCAATATTTCAGATCTAGTACTGACACTTACATTGATGCATTCATCCAAAGTACAGCAGAGAAATGCAGAAATGAATTAAATCAGGATTCATCTGTTTTGGACTCCTGGATATTGCTGCAGAGGAATCACAGGTGACTGCAGGCGCTTGCACTTTTCATCCTCAGAGTAAATGAGTTGATTTTAGACTGATAACCTGTGAATTCTACAGTAACTCAGCAACTCTTGGTTTTCCAGCAGGATTCTGCGTCTTTTCTTCTTTCGTCCATATCGGGGTATTTAGGGAGGGATTATGGGAAGCCAATAGGACGTTATTTCTATGACCTCATGGAGTGAGTTCCATGCTCTGGCAGTGCGGATGTTTGCTGTTGCCAGGAGAAAGTAGAGTCTGTGACTGGAGCCCAGTTCACTCAGTCAGATAGCGGTGATTCAAACCCCATTTGTTTTGGGCGTAGAGGATGCTCTCAGTGGTTTGGCTGTGATTGATCCTTCCTCTGCCCGTGATCGCACCATGACACTATTCCAGTTTCCACATTCAATTTTCCCTTGCTAACTTAGACCAGTTCAGTTCTGTGGCGCTTCCTTTATTGGCCCTCTGACAGTTGTTTGACCTCCACCCAGAAAAAAAGCACTTGGGCCATTGCTTTGGACAGCAGCAAACCTTTGAATGGAAACATGACTGTTTACAGAGAGTTTAAAGTTACAGGGGCAGAAGATGTCTTATTGCCCAACCACGGACCGCCTGTCACTACACAGATATTAAGCAGAATTTAAGACCTCCAATTACAGAATTTTAGCAGTTTCCTGCTCCAATAAAGTAGAAAACCTATTTATTATTCGGGTGCTTTTTTCTGCTACAGCCTCTGTATTAGATAGAAATATATTATTATATTCTTGGTTGATTATACAAAATTACAAAGTAAATTAAGTTGTGCATCACCAGCAGAAAAAGAATAAACGGCAGTCCAAGGGAGGAAAAAGGGTTTTGTATCTCAGGGCAACTGTCCCATTATGATTAAATGTATTGACACAGTACAAAGCGACAGGAAAAAGAGAATCAGACATGGTAAACATTCCCAGATTGTTATTGTAAAAATAGACAGAGCAATCACAGCATGGTCAGAAAACTAAGTGGACGACTCAATATGCCACAGCAAGATGTGATCAGCCAATGAGTTTAATACATGGAAGAATCTAATGTTAATTGTTGGTGGACGTCTTGTTTTCTGTATCAGAGCAACAGGGAATCTGGTACAGTATCAAAACATCACTGTGCATTTATTTTCATATCAAGCTGCAACCCCCATCACTGTAATTTGTGCATATAAAAGCACATCTGCAATCTAAGTCTTCAGATATATGTAGCGTAATAAAGTAAAATGTATTATTCCTACAATACACATGTCAGTTAGTGCAGCAACCTCATCACAGCCACCATGGAATCTGGAGTTGTCTGTCAGATTTGTGTTGTCAAAGTAGACTCCTGCCTTCTCATGTGGGTCAGAGACAGATTTGAGTGTTTTAGTCTCGTTGGCAGAGTCGTCCGTCTGCTGCTGTGGCCATAACCTGCTTCACTCTAATGACCTTCTCTCAGGGAAAGTTTTGGGCTGAAGTACAATACAACACACTGCACAGATCTCAGGCCAAATTGACAAATATCAGAAGGTTGTTGATTTGGGACTCGTTGGTTTATACTTGACACCAACACAGATATCTGGGGCAGAGTCTGGGGTATTTACCCAGAACAGAGAAAATATTTTAATTATTCCCATGCCTCACTCAAACTTATCAAATCAAAGTTCCATTAACTAAGCAATGTGCAAGGATTTACTGGTCTGCTGTGATTATTTTGTCATTGTTGCTTAAAGCCATTATGTGCAGAATTTTAAATTTCCATTTGGCAGTTGGGGCAGAAAGTAGAGCCTGACCAAGTTAGATATTAGATATTGGCCGTTATGAGCCTTTCACAGTCATATTGGTTTCAGTGTTAATGTTTGAAAAGATGTTCACTTATGTTTACATTTAATGTAAAATATATACTTTCTCTATCAAGTTTGGTTGCATTTGTGTTTTCGTCAATGTAATGATAATGTTTGATTTTATCTTGATATTCCGATGAAAACAATTGTCCACCTTCTCCCCTACAGACTCTGGAATATGCAGAAATATATATCCGTGAGCGCTAATGATGATGTCGGTGCAAAGACTGAAAATGGATCTCAACCTAAGAAATACCGCTACGTACGTAAAGAGGGCAACTGTAACGTTGTGTTCCGCCATGTTCCCGAGGAGTGGATGCTGTTTGTGACTGACATCTTCACCACCTTGATTGAGATCAGATGGAGGGTGATGTTTCTGATCTTCGCCCTGTCTTACATCCTGTCCTGGCTCTTCTTTGGCATTCTCTACTGGGTTATTGCTCTCGCTCACGGAGATATCAGAGATGAAACAAATGAGCCCTGTGTGTCAGAAGTGCATAGCTTCACAGCTGCTTTCCTCTTCTCGCTCGAAACTCAAACCACCATCGGCTACGGCTTCAGGGGCATGACCGAGAATTGCATGATTGCCATTGTGATAGTCACTGTACAAGATGTCATCAGCTGCTTCATTGACACCTTTATCATTGGAATTGTCGTCGCCAAAATGGCGTCGGCCAGAAAGAGAGCACAGACGGTGGGCTTCAGCAACCGTGCAGTCATCAACCTTCACAACGGTTACCTGTGTCTTTCCTGGAGAGTCGGGGACTTCCGCAGACACCACCTAGTGGAGGGGACGGCTTGTGCGCAGATAGTCCGCGCCACAGTCCATGCCACGGGGAAAGTGGACGTGACCTATGAAGACCTAGTCATCCAGCAGAGGGAGATCATCCTAGTCACACCCACCACTGTCTTCCATAAGATCGAACCCGGCAGCCCGCTGTACAAGATGAGCTTGGTTGATCTGCGTAAAGCTGACTTTGAGCTGGTGGTTTCTTTTACCTACACAGACGACTCCACAGGTATGCTGCACCAGACCCGCACCTCTTACACTCCACCTGAAATCCTCTGGGGTCATCTCTTCCAGGAGATGATCAGGGTCAGTAGAAGGAACTACAGAGTGGATTACGTCCTGTTCAACCACACTGCTAAGGTGCTGGTGCCTGAGGTCAGCGCTGAAGAGTATGAACTTAAGAAGCAGCTGCGTCCCTCTCCTCGGCATTCCCCGCGACATTCACCCAGAGCTTCCCCAAGGCCCTCTCCAAGGTCACAACGGAAAAATCAGCAAGAAAAACTATTGAAACCTCCAACAGTGACAGTGGAACTTGTGAGTGACAGCCGCCCTGAGCCAACCCCTTCACCTTCACAAGCAGAGACTAAACAACAGGACACTCTGACTTTGCCAAATGACCTCACAAGTAGTGACGTATAAAGCAGAGCCATCATATTTTGTGTGTCTTTAAAGAAACCACTGCTACAGAGGAATATATTCAGAACACTACGCATTAAGAACAATAAATGTTCTGGCGTCTGTGGTTTTTTAGAATAAAATTAGTTTTAAATATCAAAGACTGAACTTTTAGACTTGAAAATTCATTCATTCAAGTCAAAGCAGTCAATGTCCCCTGGAATGGTTGTTACCCCACTGCAGGTCACAGAATCTGATATATCACATCGAACAGTGTGACAGCTACGCTGCAAGCCAATGGAAGATGAGTACATCATACATAGAGTAGAGATATTAGAACATTGGATATTTGAATGTGTCTGATTTTATGAAAATTGCTGCAGAAGATCATGTGATAAAATAAAAATCACCAGAACAGTTAGTAAATGGACCTTTGTGTTGGGATTTGATTATTCCTGCCGATCAATCAAGAGAAGAGAAAAAGTTATGCTGAGATTGTTTTTATATTCTGATCTTAATCTTATCTGACAGGATCGCTGCAGTCCTCACCTGCGACCATATAATGTTTGAAGCACGAGGACGTTCATTTGGTTCTGGTAGTAATACCATGATATTACCTTGACAACCAAATAAACCGGTTCATTTTCTCCAAACAGAAAAACTAATACCCCCCCAACTGACAACACGTCAGACTCCATCTACAAACAAATCAGGGTAAAGTAAAGGTAGACCCAGCCCACGTAGGTGATGACAACAGGACGTACACATGTCAGGCAAAATTCCATAAATTACTGTGTGAAACTAAAACTAACAGATCAAATGGGAAAAACAGAAAACACACTGTTCAGACTTTTAGGTGTAAAACTGCCCTTTTAGTGTGTGTGTGTGTGTGTGAGAGAGACTTATTTAAAAAGGTCTGCGTTATGTCCTTCATGTCCTCCATGATATTGATCAGATGTCTGGTCTGTGCTGATGCTAAAATAACCAGAATTCACAGCGGAGACAGCACCAGCGTCCCTTATGTGTAAAGTCAAAGTTTATATAAAACACATGGAACATTCTCTTCTACATCTGTGGTGGTGGAAATGCATATATTTAATATTTTTTATATTTAATGATTAACAAAAAGTCGAACAATTCAAAAACCAGTTCACACACAAGTAGTTGAATTAATCTGTGATGTTTATTGTCTTGGACTTTAGTGAATACTATTTTGCATCCTCAAATACTTTATGAAAAGTGTGGGGAGGATCTGATGCAACAGACTGACCAAATGTGTTTCTAATTCAGTTGTTATATAGTATCATTAAGCAGATTTGATAAAATATTAAAACAATATTTCTTATGAGACAATGCCAGTGTTCAATAAGTGATGTTTAAATATCTGGTTTGCGTTTTTCACTTCCTCTGATAATCGTGCATCTGTCTGAGGTGGATCATGGTTCTTGTCTGAGAACAAAAGCTCTGATTAGGAAGGTCACTTTGATGTCAAGTAACCAGACAGGCAAAAGTAACCAGATGCTGCTTCGTAACATACTGCTGTGTTGCTTTGATTCGCTTCACTATGTAATCCTATTAAAACCTGTGTTTTTTTACCATCTATCCACAAGAGATCAGTCGTGATGTTATTCAGGCTCAGGTCAGACACGAGATCGTGACAGTGTTGATTTATTGGGATTTTTTTCATCTGTCCATCAAGTACCTCAGTGGATCCAGCGTTAACTTCACTCGACAGCAGGTCGCCCTGCACACACAACTTATAACGCTGATTCCAGTGAATCTATGACGACTGTTTACCAGGTGGTTGGAAACATTCTGCCCTGAGGTTGAGTGGCAGCCACTCACACAGGAAATGCTGCACCAACAGAGGAAGGAATGGATTCAACTAAATATCAGCAAATTCTGTCCAGCAGTCAAGAAAGTGAATCTTTGAAGAGGCCAGAAACAAAACTAAAGCAGAAACTCAAAATCCACCGGGAAGAAGGAGGAACACACGCTTACATGGAATGATTGTTGTTGTTAAGATCTCCCAGCTGACATCGGGCAAAACGTGGCGGTCCACCCAGTACAGGTCTCCAGTCTATCCAACAATCCACATTCAGTGTTGTAACATGCGTCACTGTCCAAGTGTTGCTGCTGGTTAATTCAAGCCAATTTGATTTGTATAACGTCAAATCATAATATACATGATCTCAAGAGAGGAGAGAGAGACAGCTATGCTGCACGAAAATATCACTTAATAATATGATGCACTCATTTAATCATTTCTTTAAATGTTTGGGGAACATGTTAATTTAATAGGACAGATGAACCGTGAGACCCTCTCCATCTGAGAGAGGGATGACGCACAGCAAAGGGCGGCAAGCCGGAAATCGAACCTGCGGTCGCTGTAGAGGTCTAAAGCCTCAACACAAGGGGGCACCAGCTCTACTGGTTGGGCTACACAGCAACCCATGATGCACCCATTAAAACCAGTGACAACAGTTTGCTTCTGTCCACTGTTGCTGCAGCCATTTGCAGAAGTTTGTCCAGTCCCTGAGTGCAGTGACAAACATATCTGTCGTTAAGGTTCGAGACAGCGGAGGAAAGTATTGCACATTTTTGTAATAATAACATTAATGATAACTACCACTAAATCGTTAAAGTAAATAGTAATATCTCAACTGCTATAACCATCAGTTCTCTATCATGTCATTTTTCATCCTCAGACGCTGCAGTGACAGTTGCATGAGAAGATCATTCCTCCTCCTCCTCTCCACGTATCAGACGTCTGTGCTGGAGAATCACTGGTTAATTCCAGCCTCCAGTTCTCCACCTTGTGGTCCACACGCAGCACTAGGCTACTGCATGCACCACTCTCCTTACTGCTGGAAATTGGGCATGGAAAGCAAACACACACACTCTCGAACTCACACAATGTGCACAGATCACTGACACAGGTGGTCTGCACTAAATATATGTGCTGCTATAAATAACCAGAACTAAAAATAAGACTCATGGGGGGAAACGCAAGAGTTCAAAAGGCTTTTTTGGAAAATCCTGCAACTGTGGGTTAATGTTTATCATGAATTAGTAAGTAAGAAGAATGATTTAGTCAGTGGTGCTAAGACAACACAGCTTCGGCCTGACCTAAAATTATAGTGCAACAGATGCATAGTCTAAACATCCGAAGCAACTTGATAGCTCAGTGGAGAAAGACAGTCATATCATAATACAGGCATGTAGGCCTTTATTGAGTGAGTCATTCTTTCCAACAGAACACATTTTCCATACCCACATTAAAATCACGAGATCTATAAAAACAACGGGTATCACAGAAATGAGGCTGATGGGCAGTTTGGTTGCACAATCTCAGCAGCAGGTGGGATCTTTTTTTAGCAAGATATGAATGCATCTGCAGGAGGTATAATTATTATATTATATCAATTATTACACTAACATGTTAATTGTCGCAGGTGTTGGAAGTGAAAGCTGCTCAGTTTGTGTCATGTGAACTTGTCTGCAGAGCTGCATCACCTGTGTTACACTTTATCAACATTCTAATAAATACTGTGAGTATGGTCCAGATTCAGGTGTTTAAGGGGAAAATCTATTTTTGTTCATGTTTCTGACTTCCCCCCTCACTGTTTATTCTCCCCCCCCCCTCACTGAGATTTAAACTGTTGTCGGCCTATTAGAGTCAAATTCCTCTCCATTACTTCCTACTTGTGTTGTGTTCACACATCCGTCGCATCGGTCAAACACAAAATCACACTCACGCACAAATATTATAAAAAGAAACGGTGCGTTTGCGCCTGTTTGCGCCTGTTTGCCACCCCTCCCCGTTTCCATTGGCCCGGCGCGGGGCCGGGGGCGGGACGTGCCGGTGCGTGGCGTTTAAAAACGCTTTGGGGGAACTCGGTGAGAAGCACAATATCCAGACCGGTCCTCCAGAGACATGAGGGGAGTTTCACACTTCGTCTTGTTTAAAATTAAATAAGGAGCGCGCGGAAACGACGCGGAGGATAGCGGTGGCCAAGAAACATCTGGATTATATTTCACCGGTCTACACATGAGCAGCAGGTAGAGGAAACACGACTTTGAGCCTTTTACGCTTCGCGACCTCTCACTCTCCTGTAGTAATAACTTTAACGACGAAGTGCTCTGTGCACCAGTTATCTTCTGGCTCAACTTCATTCTCCATGACGCGCACACTTCCTGACTTTTTACGCATCACCTCTGCTGACAGATCCCCCTCCAGATGTGCTGGCTACTTTCATCTCGCTTCATATTTTACATGATTCTCTCTGCTGATGCACCGAGCTGGCAAAGAAGCGTGAGTGTGTGTGTGTGTGTGTGAGAGAGAGTGTGTGTGTGTGTGAGAGAGTGTGTGTGTGTGTGTGAGAGTGTGTGTGTGTGTGTGATTGCATCAGAAGTCAGTTCTTTCCCTCCGCACCTGTTAACATTTGTCGCTGGCATTTGTTGCATTCTGGGAGCAGCTCAGTCTGTCCCCTCTCACTCAAATACACTTTACTAATACTTGTTAAAACACGAGACTGAATACTGTTTAATACCAAGGTTATTAATGAAGGACATCTTGTGCCCTCTTGCACGTTTTCTCCAGAATCTTTGAGATCTGCTCGTTTGAAGTTTGGCTCCATGTTATTAATTTTAGGGGAAAAGAAGACAACCTATTGAGATGTTTACATATCGGGCATCATGTCAAGAGAAGTCACACATGTCTTATCAATACGTCCATGTACACTGGAGACAGTTCATTATGTTAAAACAAATGTGGCCTGTTTTATGAGGTATTTATTGAAAAGGATTATTGTTGCTGTTAGCAAGTGTGAAACTAGAGTCTGACTCAGTGACTCGCAGCTGTGGTCACATCATCGACATTCCCACTCTTAATCAGTGCGTCTGCATCTGAATGAGATTCTGACCCTGAACAAATGTTTAGTTTTCACCACCAGCTTCTTTCTCATGTGTCAGAGAGAAAGTGTTCATAACAAGGCAATAAAAACAAGCGAGGGACGCTGTCAGCAGGTACATTTAGACTGTGTTGCTAGGACAGCCAAAACTAATGAGTGGTGTTTCAGCTGTGCTGGGAGAGTCCTCACGGGACAGCCATTATTGCAGCAGAGAGGAGAAATCCCAAAGGGCTCAGTGAGAGTCAACAAGCTGAGCATCTCCTGCACAGCTCACACAAGCTCCTTTCAAACAACAGATGAACTTGAATGTTGTGATGATGTTGTTTACAACCTGGTTCTTTATGCAAATCTCTGATGAAACCGCTTCATAAAACTTGTAAACAGCAAAGTTTTCTTTGAAAGTTCAGTTGCACATGGTCTCTAAATTATTAGTTCATGAAAATGTGCATAAATAATTTGATAAATAGTTTGAAATCCTGACAGGATGTTGCTTTTGCTCGATTTCTGAAACTCAGTGGAGCATTTTCTGTTTCTGCAGTGAATCATTTCTAAAACAGAAACAAATCTTCACACATGAACTTTCTCAGTTGTAAGATTTATCGTGATCCTGTCGGTATAGTTCAAACCCATCAGTCCATGGGATCCCGCAGAAATGCTGCAACCCACAATCTACTTAGAAATGATTGGGTCAGTGCAGGGCAGCCAAGAGAAACAAGCCAACTTTGTAAATGACCAACGATGAGACCTGAGCGCAATTACAGAGTGGCCTCTGTCAGTGGAAGTTGAAATGTTAGATCAGGGTTAAATATCACTGTTGTCATAACTAGATGAAATGTGGTTGGCACAGGGGGGAAGAGCTTTTTGAAGGTTTTTCTCAGGCTGCACACACGTCTGCCTCCACAGTGATGACGTTATCCGTTATCAGTTGTGACTTCTCAAATGTTGAACCGTTCTTTTTGATGTTGTCATTAATAGCCCAGAACATGATTTGATTTATCCGATTTATCTGGAACTGGTTTCTCTAACAGACGTCCTCCATTTCTGTTTTCCTGTAACAGATTAACTTGATGAGGTCGAGTAAGACGATGAAAGAGGAGTGACCACTTCATCCTCCTCTTGCTGCACTTTATCTCAGGACCAGTGAGGCTGAAGAGGAGTCCTTCAGCCCGCCTCATTTGCCACCATTTCATCTGAGTTGGTCCCCAGACGTGTTTCAAAACTGTTTCTCCAACGCTTTTTCCAGAAACTTAGACTGTTCTCTAAAGCAGAAGCTGCACAGCCCTCCCAGACTGAGGTGATGGGAAGCGTGCGAGCCAGCCGCTACAGCATTGTGTCATCAGAGGAGGACGGCATGAAGCTTGCCACTATGGCAGTGCCCAACGGCTACGGCAAGAGCAAGGTGCACACGCGGCACCAGCCGCAGAGCAGATTTGTAAAGAAAGACGGTCACTGCAATGTGCAATTCATCAACGTGAGCGAGAAAGGTCAGCGGTACTTGGCCGACATCTTCACGACGTGCGTGGACATCCGCTGGAGATGGATGTTCATCATCTTCTGCCTCGCCTTTCTGCTGTCATGGCTGTTCTTCGGCTGCGTCTTCTGGCTAGTTGCCAGAGTCCACGGGGACTTAGGCAATAACGCCCAGAAGTGTGTCTCCAATGTGAGCAGCTTCACCGCTGCCTTCTTGTTCTCCATTGAGACTCAAACAACTATTGGTTACGGCTACAGATACGTGACAGACGAGTGCCCTGTTGCTATGTTCATGGTGGTTTTCCAAAGCATTGTGGGTTGCATTATTGACGCTTTTATTATTGGCGCCGTTATGGCAAAAATGGCAAAGCCCAAGAAGAGGAATGAAACTTTGGTTTTCAGCCATAATGCCACAGTGGCCATGAGGGACAACAAGCTCTGCCTGATGTGGCGTGTTGGCAATTTAAGGAAGAGCCACCTGGTTGAGGCACATGTGCGGGCGCAGCTTCTAAAATCCCGTACAACGGCAGAGGGGGAGTACATCCCCCTTGACCAGATGGACATAGATGTGGGCTTTGACAGCGGAGTCGACCGTATCTTCCTGGTCTCACCAATCACCATTGTCCACGAGATTGACGAGGACAGCCCCTTCTACAACATGAGCAAACAGGACCTAGATAACTCAGAGTTTGAAATTGTGGTCATTCTGGAGGGCATGGTCGAGGCGACGGCCATGACCACGCAGTGCCGCAGCTCCTACGTTTCCAGTGAGATCCTCTGGGGCCACCGGTTCGAGCCTGTGCTCTTCGAGGAGAAGAACTACTACAAGGTAGACTACTCCCGCTTCCATAAGACATACGAGGTGCCAAGCACCCCTCTGTGCAGCGCCAGAGACTTTGCAGAAAAAAAATTCATTCTCTCAAACTCCAACTCTTTCTGCTATGAAAACGAGATTGCGCTGGAGAACAAAGAGGACACAGACGAGGGAAACGGGGGCAGCGTTGGGCCTGATGGCACCCAGACAGACAACATCTCAGAGACTGAGCACAGCCAAGCCACTGTGCCACTTGAGCCGCGGCCTCTGAGACGAGAGTCAGAAATATGACTGTTAACACCTCAAACCTCACTTGAGATTTTTTTTTTTTTTTTTTTTTTTT